CTAGGGAAGCGATTTGTTTGTTCTTGTAGTAACAGTCCATCTGCCTCCAATGTTTTCTAGGGAAGCGATTTGTTTGTTCTTGTAGTAACAGTCCATCTGCCTCCATTTTTCCTGCAGACCACACAGGTAGTTTTAAGTACCAGGGTCACACTCATTCCTTGACAAGCACCTGGGAACCAAGTAGATCCCAGACCTCCTGTCTCCTCTGTAGAGGAGGCTGTTTCTCTTCCAGTGGAACTATCAGGGGAACTAGAGCATTTTGACAACTTGGTCGTGTGCATTCTTCCCTTCCTGAGTGTGCACAGTGTTGAATTTCCCAAAGTTGAACCCCTGTTACTAGGCCAACTCCGAACGTGTGGCGCCGCCAACCAAAGTATAAATGGAGACATCTCTACTTTAAATCAAAGCAATAACCTGCTAAATAAAATAGTTTCTGGCAGCTTCTATTTAGACAGTTTGTGATATTAGGATTGATTTGTGTCTGTACCTCTCTTTCATTCTCCTGCTGGTCTCTGAGGGAGAAAAAATATTAAATTATATGTCCAGGTAATTAAGGACAGACTGTAGAAGCTATTGTCTATTAAGGCCTCATTGTAAGTGAACTTGTAGATACCAATTCTGCATTCTAGTTCTGTGTTGGTTTTTTGTGGCCAGTTTTAACTTTCAGAAGCTTTGTAGGAAGTAATTGAAGAGAATGCTAGTAGTGAAAGTAAGTTACATGTAGATAAATCCCACAAGGCCGAGTGTTTTGAATTTCTGGGTGTACACAGCTCATTTGCATTTCAAGTATGAACTTGTATGAGCTGGACAAATGCCCACAAGTAGACGAGGAAATGGGGTGCCATTCCAGCGTCTGGTTACCTGTACACTGTTGCCATTGTTGTTGTTGAGTGCCATCAGGTCAGTTCTGACTCACAGTGATCCTATGGCACACAGTCGAAGTGCCCTGTAGGACTTTTGGGTTGACATCCTTACAGAATCTGATCTCCACATGTAAAACGCAGGAGTAATGGTAGGATCAGGAGCAGTGTCAGTTACTCCTGGACCTGTCTAAGCTCAGCAGGGAGAGTGAGTGGCATCAGCCTAAGGCTGAGCCTATGACGTGGTGGAGGGCAGACCTTCTTCCACTCTTCAGCCTGTTGACTTTTATAGCATTGACATCTCTGGTGGGTTTGATAACCCATTGCAGTGGCCACACGGAAGTCTTAGACCATAGATCCTGTTAAATGGTTTATTAAGGAACAGGGAAACTGAGGATCCGGAAGCCTGTTGGCAGTTTCCCTTCTTCATTGTAGGACAGCTCTCTAGCTCATTCATGTAGGCCCCCTCAGGATACCCTCTCTCAGTCCCATGAGGACAGGCCTCTCTTGGTCTCCTGAGGACAGGCTCCTTTTGGTCCCCTCAGGT